GAGTGGGCACAGGGGGGAGAGAAGGGCTGGTGGAGGGGGGCAGGTTGCAGGAGGGCTCAGAGCAGTGAGAAGGGCAGGAGTCAGGACAGCAGAGGAGGGCGAGGAGTTGGGGGGCAGCAGGCACCAGGGGAGCTGATGGAGTAAGGGGAGGAGACATGGCAGCAGAGGGAACAGGTAGAAGTTTATAAGATGTTTATTAATAACTTGGGTGCCGCAGTGGCACATCCAAACAAGCCACATGAACTCAGTACAGGTGCACAACACAAAATTCATTCTGCTCATGGGAGGAAACTCTTAGAGGGAACACTTCCCCCAGCCTCTCCGTCCCTGAGTTAATGTCACACACATTGGGTTAATGCAATTGCAGGATAATTGCATGGGGGGGAGTTGGCGGGGGCCAAACTACTCCCTATTGTAGGAGGATGGTGGAAAAAGTCCTTCAAGAGGGGTGACATGACACCTTTTATTTCTGGTCATGTGTCCATCTTGCCCCGAGAGTGTTACCTCCAGAGGACTGGCTAATGGGAGTCACGGGGTGTGGCTAATGGGGTCAAAGAGTAAATTTAAAAAAAATTCTTTGATGTGAAAAAGTAGGCCGTTCTCTACCCATTTCCCTGGCCTATTTTGTTTGCCAGTCCGCCCCTGCACTCAGCTTCCACTGAGTTCACTGGTGACTGATCAGCACTTCATAATAGGGGCTTGGCACATGCTAAGAACAGTCTGCAGTTTATACTGGCCTATTGTCTTTTGCAACTACAGTGTAACAGAAAAGGGTTTTCTTCTAGTATTGTAGTACAGAGAAAGCAAAACAAGTCACAAAGTTTAATGTACCTAATTCTGAAAACTTGAATTCTTTCAAAAATAAGATGGGAGAAAGAGATAGAAGAATGTTGGTCTTTGACACCCACTGTTTGTAAAGCTAATTGACTTTGTGGAATCTTTGCAGCAAGATATAAATGATGCATGAAATGAAACTCCCTGCCCACCCTGTATACAAAGAACATATGGACGGTGTTTTGCAGTCATTGCTGTGATGTGCTATTTATTTTAGCACAGAGCACAAATGAAACCAGAAAAGCCCACCAAGCCTAGAAAGTTGCAGCTAAAAATATAAAGTAAACACAACTCTAAAAGGTTGTTTAATACTTCTAGTGAGGTAATGGTTCTCCGCCTGGTCTCCTCTGTCTAGCCACAACCTAGACAGCCATGTAGATTCAGCTCTAAGCAGGGAGGTCTTCCCTAAACTGCATGCCACCAGAGGCTGTGCTCTGGTCAGTTCTCACAATACAAACAGTCGGATGTGATCTGGAAGACAGCCTAAGAAAATGGAGAGTGGTGCTTTTGATTCTGAGGGTAATACTTTTTCCTTTGAATTGGTACTAAACCAATGCCTTTCACATAGTGTTAGGTGACCATGTATTGTTAATAGTCTCATGCTTTTGGAATAAACATAAAATGGAGATTCTGGTCACTTGTGATCATGAAAGATCCCATGGCAGTTTCCACAGAAACAGAAGTAAAACCCATTTGTCTTGGCCAAATTCCATTGAGCCCATTGTGTTCTGCCTACTTCTGTTGGAATAGTCTCCTTTAATTCAAGTCCTAAGCTATTGCATAGTTATACTTTCCACTATAAAATAGCAGCTGCCTTTCACTGCAAAGGAGGTTGCTCTCAAGTGGCTTATTTAATTTTGTATATCATTAAATATTTGGTAGTGTTTGATCAAGACTAGGAGCTCACCATGCCAGGTGTGGTACAAATATGTATG